GGTCATATTTTGTTGTTGTTGTGTTTGGTTTTTTTGTTTCAATAGCTCTACGTCAGTAGAGCATAGGTTAGAGATCGCCTGTTTCCTTTTTTTTTTTTTTTTAATGACTCATAAATTCTGTTACACACGTCGGAAAATGAAGCAGGTGTTGGAATGCTGGATGTGAAATCGGAATTGCACTCATTTCAAAGCACCAACACAGCCGCACGGCTACAGGCGCTCTGTAGGTACAGAAACGTGCATAACCGTGCGGTCCTCGAAGGTGCCCTGTGTACATACAGGCGTGCAGAGTTTGTTGTGAAAGGACACACAGAGGTATGTTTAAGGAAATACACATACGTATGTGTGCGTTAATGTTAATTAAATGAATGAAAGAAGAAAAAAAAAAAAAAAGAAAAAGGAGAAAAGAAAGGAAGGAAGGAAGGAGCCGGTTAGGAGGAAAAAATGCTGACCTCCCACATACAGCAGTGGGATCGTAAATGCATCTGTGTCTGTGTGTTTGTCAGCATATGGACACACGCGCAGCAGAACCCTTTCGAACATCCTGCGTTTGTTGTCTTATTTGCCCGCAGGCTACGAATCATGTGAAAATACCTCAAGGACGAGATTTTCCGAAACTGTGGCTGAGATTTATTACGAAGCAGCTATAATTATCCTGCCGACCAGGAGGGGCTCTAAGAACAAAACCTAACGCAACACAACACACTTTCCAACTTTCCCAGAGTATTTCAACACTGCAAACGGTTCCTCCCAAACAGCCCCAGCACGGGGGCGGCGCGGCTCCGCGGGCTGCGGGCGCCGGGTGGCTGACAGAAGGATCCCCCCGTGCCTCCCGAACACGTACAGGGATGCATCCCGCACCCGCACACCCTCCCCGGGCCCGGTTTAATTGCGGCGTTTTGCTCCGCCGCTAAATGTATGGCTGTTTTTGAGGGAAATGACGACGTGGTGAATTCCTGCAGTGCAGTGGCACGGTGCATTTCCGTCCCTGAGCGATGCCGGGAGCGCCCAGCGCAGCACAGCGGCTTCTGATTGCGTGTTTTGAAAGTGCGGAGGAGATATGCAGCATAAATACACACGTTGTGAAATAATATATTTACGAGTATGTTCTATAGAGAGAAACAGAGGTGTGGACAAGTACATACACACACGTAGGCAATGTAGATCCGGGTATGTACACCCGTATATAAGCAATGCGGTACAGGGTCTACGCATATGCAGGCAATGTGGATAACGTCTACGTGATTATTCTATCTCCTCTGCACATTTCAAACCAAACCTATTTTATCGAGTGCTCGCCCACGATTTAGCCAGCCGGGCTGCCCACTCGCTGCGCTCCCGCCCGGCTGCACGACCGCGGCTCCGCTTCTCCTCTCCTCGCTGCCCCGCCGGGAGCAGTCGGGCCCGGATCCTCCCTCTGCGCCCTGCGGGGCGGGCGCGCCCGCGGCTGCGGGATCAGAGGCCGGGCGGGGGCTGCCGGGGCAGGACGGGGCTCGGCTCTCCGGGGCCGCCCGCGCCCTCCGCCCCCGGCGCTGCCGCACAGACACCTGTTAGGTGTGAAGTTACACGAGCGCCCTTCCGCTACGGGAAAACGCGGCGCGGAAACACGGCGCAGCGCTTCAGCCTGCGGGGAAACCAAACCACGGGGAAGGGGCACTTAGTGGGAGAACCGCAGTGTCTCCGCTCCCCGACCCTCAGCCTTCCGCCGCTCTGCGCGGGGCCGAGGCTCGCTCCGCAGCCTCCTCCGCGCCGCCCCGAGCGGCAGTCTGTATCCACGCTAATCGCACCGAGAGCCGGCGCAACGGCAGCCCCGAAAGCGGCCGCGCTAACGGTCCCGCGGCTGCACCGCACAGCGCTGGGTGCTCCGAGGGACAGGTGACCGAGCGGGACCGGCGCTCCGCCCGCGGGAGCACGGTGCTAGGGGCAGCCGAAGGCTTACCGGTGGGCGGCAGCGCCCGCTTGCCGAAGAGCCGGGGACGTTCGCTGTAATCCATTTTGCGCCCGCGTAGCAATCCGGGGGGCAGCGGCGAGCGGCTCCGCGCAGTGCCGCGGGAGGAGAGGCGTCACGGGGCCGGGGAGCAGTGGGGTTCGGGGAGCGCCGCGCCAACATCGCGGCTGCCATACACCTCAGCCAGACAAAGGTTAGGAAAAGAGGGGCTGAGACTCTCTGAAGGCAGAATGCAGGGGGAAATTCGCCAGGGAAATCAGGAAAAGGCCATGAAAGCGCTCGCTGCCTGCACATGACCAGCCGCAGCCAATGACGAGCCCAAATAGGTCATAAAAAGGTCTATTACCAAGTTGTAAATTTTCTTCAAACAAAAAGGAATTTACTGCAATTCCTTGCGGATTTTGCACATACTGCTTCCCAGCGCCATGTTTCTTTCGCCTGCGCGCTGTGCTCGTGTTTTTTACTCTCTGCCCCCGCGGCCTGCGTGCTCCGAGCGGCTGTCGGGGCCCCGCGGGCTCGGAGCTCCGGAGAGAGCGGAGCGCTGAGCCGCATTCGGGGTGGGGGGACCCCGCTTAATGTCCCCTCGCTGTGCCCTTCTGTTCGCTCCTTGCCTTAACGAAAGGGACTTTGGACTGCGTTACCCACAGCCGGGCCCTACGAGAAAACGTGTTTCCTGTAGCGCCCACTACTGAAGCCGAAACCATCGATGGCCCAAAGGCAGCCCGAGCCGAGTTGATGCCGAACCGCGCCCCGCAGTTCGGGGTCCCGCAGGTCGCGCTGCCGTCGAGCCCCAGCGCGAAGCATCCGCGGGGCCGCGTGGAACCCGGAAGCTTAAAAAGCGCTCGGAAAAGGCTACGGCTGCCCCGTGTCACGGAGAGCGAGGAACGAAAATTGCGTCTCTCGCTCGATTTCTGTTCAGAGAAGAGCAAGAGCCCTCTATCTGTACCCTACGAACCCGCCGGGAAAGAAAATAAAAACAAAGCTAACAAAAAAAACCCAAACTGCGCTAACGACGTGGGGTCGGTGTCACACCGCTGCAGGGGATCGCACACCCTCGGATGAGGCACCCGCTGGGCCGAGGCACCGCCACCTCCCGCGGCCCGGCGCAGCTCCGGCCTCTCCCCGCACGGTGCGGCGTTCCCTCCCGGCCCCGAAAGCGCACTGGGCAACCGCTGCCTCACTTCGCTTTTCCTGCACAGGACTCTAAACGAAAGCGAAGGGGAGATTGAGCTGCCAGCTACAGGCGGGAAATACCTTCATAAGTACATACAGGATTTTTTTTTTTTTTCCCCCTAACTAAAAAAAAAAAAAAAAAAAGAGAGAGAGAGAGAGGGAGGGAGAAAGAGAGAGAGGGAGAGGGAAGTTCCCCGTTAGGACGAGGCCTTTGCAAACGCTGTGCGCACCGGGGCGTTGGTTTGTGTGCGTGGCTGCCTTCCCAGTCAGCCCTACGCTAACGGAAACTTCGTCAGGAATATTCTAATTTCATTTTCTTAGTCTGGAAATTAAAAACAACGTCGACAGCGGCTCTTTCACGGACGAACATCGGCTCGGGAAATGAATGCTCCGCCGGGCCGTGACGGCTCTGGTGCGCGCTTCCCGGGGCCGGAGCAGGAGGAGGCCCGATGCGGGCTGCAGTCGGGCCCCGGAGCCGCATCGCTCCCGGCCACCCGGGCACTGCTGCGTATATGCAAATCCGTGCAACAAAATGGTGCCTTCCCCGCTTTGCCGCAGTTTCCACGCGTTTGCAAGCTTTAACCAGTTGCGCGATTAAAATAAATCAGAACAATGGCTCCGCTCGATTCCGCCTCCCTCCGGAGCTGGAGTTTCTCAGGGGCTGAGCGAACCTGGCTGCGGGCTGGGAGCAGAGGGGAAGCTGCACGAACCCACCCCGCGCACCGAGCACGGCTTCGGCGCGGCCGTCTCCGATTGTCGGGCCGCTGCCGGCCGTGGGGCTGCGGGACGAGGCCCCGGCACATCTCGGGGCCTTCGCGAGCGGCTTCGGGAGGACGGGGCCGAAGGGATCCCTCTCCGACGGCAGCGCCGTTCCTTTAGGGGGCACATAATGGGAGTCGAGTTTGTCGCATTCACCGCACCGCGTCCTGAGGGGCCGTCAGCGAACATCGCGCATTGCAGGCGTGAGAAGGGGGAAAAAAATGCACAGAAATTTTTGTAAGGCTTCATACCCGCTGCCCCTAAACGGGCTGCCCCCGCCGCCCTGCCCGATAGCTTGGAAAATTGCCCCGAAACAGTGCCGAGATATTTATTGCTGAAACGCCCTTTTCTGTATTTATACATGATTTGAGTGCACGAGCCACTTTGCCCGAGATCCGTGAGGGAGGCTGTAGCCGGCCCGGCGCTCACGGACCCACAGAACGGGGAGCACGGCACGGTAGGGCCGCGGCGGAGCCCCTCGGTGAGGATGCAAGCAAAAAGCTGCGAGGCCCAGGCACGCATGCCGGGGTCCCAGCGCCGGGGAGCGGGGGGTCTCCCACGGAGGAAGCTCTGTCAGGGAGCCCTGTGACGCCCCGCGTCCCCGTGTCAGGGCGCGTCGGGACCCGGCCGGGGCTGGGGACCCCCCTCAGGTTTTGTCTCAAGTGGGACATTTCGAGATCCCCTCCGCCCAAATAGGAGCTAGGAACGGAGGAGAGGGCAGATGCGGAGGTCCGAGAGTTTATCGGAGGAGCAGATTACAGAAAGGATGTCAGGAAACCGATAGATTTTATATTTGAATAATTTTGGTTTATTTAAATCAATAGTAGAAAGTTTCATATATTTCTAAGATTTCATCTTCAAAATTTATTAAATTTATTTAATTTATTCGAGATTAGAAAATAACAAGAATTAAAATAGCACAAGTGCACTTGTTTGATTAATAAAGCATTGGTACATGTCTCGCTTACTGGCGTTTATCATTAGGAAGTGTATGTCGCAATCACTGCCTTTCAATATTGCAAGAAAAAAAAATAGTATATATATCTATATATATATCTCATTAGAAATGTATTGCTGCGAACTCGCTATCAGATTTCCATGAGGAGCAGACGAGCGGACATCTGGAGATCGCTCCGGATGCAGTTAGACCCAAACCCGAACCCACACAGCACGCAGTGGGGCGGGACGCGACCCCGCGGGACGCACACGGCGGGGATGGGCCCGGAGCGGTGGCCGTGGGCTCCTCGTTTCTGATGGCCTCTCACAAAGGCTTTTAGGGCAAAATTAATTTAATTCGTGTGGCTTTCGGCTCTGTCGTCTTCCAGATCATGTGTTTCCTTTTTGGCCTCCCCTTCCTTTCCCTCCTGCTTGGAAGCGGGGAATTTGTCCTTGTTGTTCTCCTTTTTCCACTTCATCCTCCTGTTCTGAAACCAGATCTTTACCTGCCGCTCGGTGAGTCCTAGGGCATGGGACACCTCGATTCGTCTCTTCCTGGTCAGATAGGGGTTAAAGAGAAACTCCTTCTCCAGCTCCAGCGTCTGGAAGCGGCTGTACGTCTGCCGCCCTCTCCTCCTCCCGGGCGCTGCTGTTTGAAACAAAAACACGGGGGTCGGGGCGGCTCGGAGCAACGCGTCCGCGGCGCCCGGGGCCCTCCGCACATCCCTCGGGGGGAAAGGAGGAAAAGAGAGCGCGGGGAGCGCAAAGCAGCGCGAGTGCGTAGGGGTGCGGCCGCAGCGTTAAGCGCGGCTCCCCGGAGCCGCAGTTTGCAGGAGCACGGCAGCACCTGGTGACCGCCCCCGGCCCCGCGCTCCCCCCCCGGCGGCCGGGCCCCGGGAGCTCAGCAGCCCCCCCAGCCCCCACACCTCCCGCAGTCCTCCCGCAGTTCCGTTAGCGAGAGCGGTGCGGGAACGCAGCGAGATGCACAGAGGGGAGGAACGGAGGGAGAGGGGAGAGAGGAGCGGGAGGAGGAAAGAAAGTTTCGAACTCAGACGTGAGATGGAAGCGAATGCCGACTGCGTCCAACCTTGCGGTCTCATCCAGGGAAACATTTGAGCAGGAGACGAGCTCTGATTTAAGTGGTCTGGTTCCTCGCCAATATTAGCACTGGACGATTTACAGTCAGGATATTGTACCAGCTCGGCCTCTTGCTGTGTCGTAAAAATCTGCTGTCTCTGTAAGTTATCGTATCCGTAAAATTTAGCGGGCTCCCCGTGACAGGTAACCCCGCTGCAGGGGGCAGGAGGCGGAGGCGCGGCGGGGGGAGGAGGAGGCGGCTGGTAGGCGGCCGCGGGGCTCCCCCCGGCCGGATGGTAAAAGTCCGCGCCGCCGCCGCCCCCCGCCCCGCCGGGCTGCGGGAAGCCGGTCCCGTAGAGCAGAGCGGCGGCGGCGGCGGCGTGGCGGCCGCTCACCTCGGGCGCGAAGTGACAGTCGTAGTACGGGGCGGGCAGAGGCTCCCCCGCCGCCACCGCCGCCGCCGCCGCCGCCGCCGCCTTGTATTTGGAGTAGAGCGGGTTGACAAAGTAGGAGCTCATCGGGGAGGGGGCAGCGGCGGGCGGGGAGCGGGCACGGGGCGCTGCTCCCCCCGGTGCCGCCGCCGGTGCCTCTCCGCTGCTCTCCCGGTGCCGCCGCCGCCGCGCCCCGTGCGCTCCCCTCTCCTGCTCTCCGTGTGCGCGGTGACCGGGGCTGGAATATAATCGCTCCCAAAATGACCTGCCTCACTGCTTTTACTATTTCCTATTAGGCACACAGCAGCCCGCGCACGCACACACACACACACACACACACACGCACGCTCATGAGCTCAGGGGGGACTTTTGGCTTCAGTTTACATGTGCCGCTCCTCAGGCAAGAAAAAACCCGGCCCAACCCTGCCCGGATCCACCCCGGCCGCGGCGCCCCCGCTCCCCCCGCCGGGAGCCGCCGAACCCCCGCCGCGCGGGCGAGGCCGCGCAGATCCGCGCGATAACCGCGGGCGCGCTGCCCGGGGCCGGCCCGCAGCCGCGGCCGGAGAGAGCCCGCAGGGAACAGCCGCCCGGTGCGCGGGGCCGGGGGCGGCCGGAGGGTGACCGGGGCGGGGGGGGAGGGCGGGCGGCGGCTCGTGGGGCCGGGGCCCTGCGGATCATTTCCTCGCGGGCGAGTGGAGCGCTGGGAAATGAGATGCACATTTACCCTTGACGCCGTGCACGCATGGCTGAGGCCCCAGGTTAATTGACACTTAATGGAAATCATGCCCATGAATATACTTTCCATCATTTCACCCTTGGTGGACGTCATTAGCGAGGCAGGGAGGGGGAGGAAGAAGGGCGGGTGGGTGCGAAGGCAGCAGCACGGGGCCGCTGGGCGAAAGGGGCAGCGAGCGCGCTAGCGGGCATGGAGGAAGGAAGGAAGGAATGGGAGGAAGGGAGGAAGGCGCTGCCCGTTGGGCTCCAGAACGGGGGAAGGCTGCTCAGGAAGGGCTGCACGGTCCCGCTCCCAGCGCTCGGCGAAGCACCGTCTCCGTTCTCCGGTCCCAGCTGAGGTTCCTGGCGAACCGCTTTTCCTGAGGCGGGAGCAGTTTTTGAGGGCAGACACCCCCACCAGTCAGAGTCCACCCTGATGTGAACAGACGGAAAATGGAGGGGGAATACCAGACTGGCCTGTCGGAGCCACGCGTGACCGTCTGGTGTGAACTGACAACAACGTTGTGGTTCCATAACAGCCATCTCAGGCCCTTGCCCCATCGCATCCCGCACCCCAACCCACCCCCACTTCCGGCTCTCCCTTTGTCTCGGAAGCCGCCCTTGCCCCTCACAAGGCATCTCGATGCTCGCGGGGGACGCAGTCCGGGTCTTGCCGGAGGCCCGGTGAGCGTGCGGCCGGGCGCCCACAGCCGGGGCTTCGTGACAGCACGGCCCGGCTCAGCACGGCCCAGCACGGCCCCCTCGGGAGCAGCGATCCCTGTCCGGGGATGGGGGACACGGGGCGGTCCCCCCACGGTCACCAAACGCATCTCTCACTCCCGGGTGTCGGAGCACACGGGTCTCCGCTTCTATGAGAAAAACACGGCAGAGGACGCCCACAGCGGCAGGGGCTGCAGAGGTGGCACCGGAGCCCCACTCAGCCCTGCGCGGCTTCGCGCGGAGAGGCGGCCGAGAATTCCGCAGCCCCACAAAGACGCAGCGGCCCCGCGGGCAGCGCCGCGCCCATCCGCATCCGCCGGGCCGGAGCCAGAGCGCGGCTACCCGGACAGGGTGCGGAGCGCTGCGCGGGCGCGGAAAGGGGCGCAGGCGGCGGGCGCGGCTCCGGCGGTAGAGTGGAGCGCGGGCGCCCTCTGGCGGCGTGAGGTGGCAGGGACAGGGACAGGGACAGGGACAGGGACAGGGACAGGGACAGGGACAGGGACAGGGACAGGGACAGGGACACGGTCAGGCAGTGACCCGTACAGCCCTTCACCGAGAAGGGGTTTCCACAATCCCAATGACCCCAGAACCGCAGCGACGAACCGGCACGGTTCTGATCCGCTTGTCGGAGCGCTCAGCCACGAGCGGATTTTCATTCCCTTTCTTTTTTTTGCTTCGATTTTCTTCCTTAATAAATAAATAAATAATATGTATATATCCCCCCCCCCCCCCCCCCCCCCCCTTTTTTTTTCTTGTCTGCCGGAGTTCCCAGTGCCATTTACTTAGCATATTTCTGTGACCTTCTTTTAATTTTTTTTTGCCAGTGCTCTAATTAACTACATACAAAGAATGCGCCTCGCTTACACATGGCAGCCAGCACAGACGCCGGAGCTTTGAAGAGCTCTGCTATCGCGTTTTCGATCATGTTTCCCCACACATTACACCACAGATACTCCATGTGTGGTAGTTTCAGAGCTATACGGTTTTGTCTTGAACACGTTATTTTGTTTACCCGTGCGCTTACGTCTCTCTAGATTGATTTATGCAAAGAAAGTAAGGAAGATTCTTTGTGCAGGCGACACACGGAGCTGCTCGGCGCTGTGCTGAGCACAGCCGCGCTGTAACGCTACGGACGGACCGAACCAGGCTGCCGTTGGACGTGGAAGAGCATTGCGGGGAGTTTTGCTTTCTGCCATTTTGAACCAAACACACACAGCGTTAGGAAGAAGTAAAAGAAATACGGGCGAAAAAAAAAAAAAAAAAAAAAAGGGAAAAGAAAAAGATATTTATCCGAGGTAAAATATGTCGCCGTGTCCGAGATAAAATATTAAAAGGAAGTGGTGTGGGCTTTGTGACGATTTCTTACCCGAGCTTCCTGATGGCGTCCTATGGCAGAAATACTGCGTGCACGCTGTTAGCTATAGATTCCCCCCCCTCCCAACACACACATGGTGATCTTGGAAAACGCAGCGGTGGGATTCCTCGCGGTAGAATATCCAATAAAATGCATTTCAACAAATCAGTGCTCTCTGTAAAATCTGTTTCGTGACCCCCGTGTCTTTTCTGAGCCCGCTGCCTTGGCCTAACGCTGACATATCGAAATTTATAGTCCAAGATTTTAAGACCGAGCTTGTCTGCATTTTTTTGGCTTTTTTTCTCTTCTAACAAACACAAACATCAAAATAAGGTGGTTTCAAAGAAAAGCGCCATAGCATATCGTAAACTCATTAGGTCCAGACGTCTAGCCATCTCAATGGTTTTATTATACCGCGGTTCTTCCTGTTTTAAAAGAATTATAGGTATCTTCTCGACAATGGATGGGAAGCAATGCAACACCTTTTCCTGGCACTACATGGGCTGGCTTTTCTTTTTTCCTTTTTCTTTCTTTTTTTTTTTTTTTCCTTTTTTTTTTTTTTTTTTTTTTTTTTTAAGAGAGAGGTAAAAACCATGAAACACCAGGTCTCTGCTCTCCCCTTAATCTTGAATTAACCGAGCCGCTCGTAAATATTTACGGGTCCTTCATTTTAATGGTTGCTCTTTAAACAAAGCATTTTTTACAATGAACTTCATCTCAATTATCTCGATAAAGCCGTGGGTGTTTATAAATGTTGGAGGCACGGGACGTGCTGCGAAATGAGCTTTCGCCAACAAAGCCCGAGTAGAGCGCGCAGATTAGAAACGGCCACCAGAAAAAAAAAAAAAAAAAAGGAAAAAAGAAAGAAAAAAAAAAAAAAAAGAGAGAGAGAGAATAACAACGTTTGGTTCGTTGGCTTCGCAGGAGCGATGCGGGAATATTCCCTAAACGATCCCAAGAGATGCCCGTGGAAGCCGCGGACCGCCCGCTCACACAGCGGCGAGGCAGAGGGCTGCTCCCCCTCCCTGCCCCCCCCGGTCCGATGCCCCCCGAGCGGCCGCAGCCCCGAGCGTGGGGTCTGAGCGCGGCGCGGGGACGCACAGAGTTCCGTTCTCGTTCGGTCACGACAGCCTTTATTGTGTTAGAACGGACACAGATACAGCAGGTCGGCAGTTAGAGACGTGGGGTGCGCACAGCATTTACCGGGCCGGGGCTCGGGAAACGTGAGGCCTATTGCAAATGGCTTCGAGTCGGAGACGACCTCCTAACGGTGCACTAAGGGGGGCGGGGTGGGGGGGCATCCCGTGGCCTCGCGGTGGCATCTATTGCAAAAATTTAGACCTAGAAAGCAGAGGTTGGGGCGAGATTTCCTCTCAATGAATCGCGGACGACGCAGCGCTGCCGTCGATTGAAGCCACTGTGATTTAATACGTATTTTGTTATCGTTATTCTAATTACTTGCCTTACCTTTATTTTGGCAAAGGAACTACCTAACTACATCACTTGTAAGAGACATGTCGAACACTTAACATCAGCTAAAGTCCCCGAAGCTAACGTGCACTCACAACACCACCGACCGAACGGCCTGGGGGGGAGGAGGGGGGGAAGCGACTCTGCAAACACGTCGGCGAGCAAGACAACATTTCCCCAAATACCTGACACAGACCACGTTTCACTTCTACCTAAAAAAGACCCGATTGATTTAACGATCCTGGGGCGGGGGCGCGGGGGGGTGGGGAGGGAGGAGAGAAGCACGCGGGGCCGAGGGGGCAGGGGAAGCATAAAACCCGACCGAACCGAAAATAAAAATACAAATAAAAAAATACAGCCCCAACCTCAGCCCCAGAGCAGCGTTCCCCGGCCGCATTCCCACCCCGGCGTTAGTCTCCTTTATTGCCTTTCTCCTTGTTCATCTTTTTCATTTTCATCCGTCTGTTCTGAAACCAGATTTTGACCTGTCTCTCGGTGAGATTTAGAATCCTAGCTACTTCGTAGCGACGGTCGCGGGTGAGGTACATGTTAAAGAGAAACTCCTTCTCCAGTTCCAGAGTTTGATACTTAGTGTAGGGACAACGCTTTTTCCTCGTCGAACGAGCGTGGATCCAGTTTGCCGCGGGGTTATCTGGAAGAAGGGAGGCACAGGGGGGAAGGGATGGGGGAGAGGGGGGTGTGGGGGGGAGAAAGGTCGTTAAATTAATTTAACGAAGGATGGACTGTTTTCACAACTTCGGGAGAATTATCATAAAAGCCTTAATGCCCCGGTCTGTTTACTGTACAAATGATGTCTTGATGGTAGGTGGTTATGTGGAGTCTTTTATGGGTGCTTGTTGCTGCTCGCGCTGGGGTAGGCGTCTAGACGTTTTTATAGGTTAGTAAAACTATCAGTTTTGCACATTCGAGCCTTACAGGTTTCGGCAATAAATCAAAGGGGCAATTTCTTTCTTTCTTCCTTTCTTTCCCTCGCTCCCTCTCTCCCTGCCGCTCTTCCCCTCTCGCTCCCCTTCCCCACTTACTTGGGTCAAGTTGCTGCTGCTTCTCCTCCTTCGGCTCTCCGCCGGGGCCGGGGCTGTGGCTGCAGGCGGCGGGCTCCTTGGCGCTGCCGGCGGCCGCCTTCTCTCGGGGCTCCGGCAGGAAAGCGCCGCACGTGTATTCGGGCACGGCGATCCCCTGGGACTCTCGGGACGAGGAGCACTCAGTCCTTTTGGAGGAGGAGGAGGAAGAGGAGGAAGAAGAGGAGGCGGCTGCTCCCGTCTCCGGCTTTATCCCGTAGTGGCGCCCGGCGGAGGAGCCCGAGCCCGAGCCGGACGCGGAGCCGCCGCCGCCGCCGCCGCCGCCGCCGCCCGGGAAGCCCGGGAAGGGCTCGATCCAGGAGCGCACGTAGCGGCCGGCGTCGGCTGCCCCTAAGTGGGGCTGGTGCATGTAGGGGTGGTAGATCCCGGTCATGGCCGCGGGCGGCTGCGGGTGAACCGTGGACCAGGAGGTGGAGAACACGGTGGATTTTGGTGCAAAGCTACAGGAGGAAAAATCGGAACTCTCTGCCACACCTGATGGCCTGGAGGTCGCACTGTGACCCCCCTGGACGAATCTACTCCCGTAAACTTCTTCGCTTTCATGGCCTATGAGAGAATCGACATAATAGTTACTTATGGTGCCACTAGACGACATTTTAGGCTCCCCTCTTACTCATATAAAAGGTTACACTGTTAACTGTATATGATACCCTCCCTGAGAACAATCGTAGTATTTTGCAGACTGCAACCCTCAACCATTGGTTGCGGAGCCCACGTGATCATATTTACCAATACTGCGAGTAAATCAATCCGCTAAACTGGGGCTGCTGTGATTAAAAAAAAAAAAAAAATCATCATCAACAACAGCACCGCACCGCGCGGCGCACCCGGACCGCTCCGGGGCCGCCCGCCCCGCACCGCCCGCCCCGCACCGCCCGATGCCCGATGCCCCTTCCGAGCCCACCCTGCCCGCTCCCTGCCCGTGCCCTTCCCGGGGCGCGCCGGGCGTGGCCGCGCCGGCAGCCCACGGCCGCGGACTATTTCTTCACCTCCTCCGAGTGATTTCTGCCATTCATTTCTTAATCAATGAGAGGCAGGGTGTTTAAATACATCCAACAGCCTTGGCTTGCTAATCACACTCCGAGCTGCCGAGGAAACCCGCTGGGAAGGGGGGATTCTTGCCTGTAAAAACAAACCGTCGCAAGCTGGGACTGTAACGACTTCTCATAAAACAGGAAAATGTTACAGTAAAAGCACATTGCGGCACTTCCATATTTCAGAGCGTGTGCGGGTATTATTATCCGTCCCCGTCCCCCCGTCCTCCCCCCCCCCCCCCGCGACAGAAAGTTTCCATGGGAAGGATTCGCGTTTTGAAAGAGATGCCCATTGTGTTGTTTTAAAACAGGTGGAAGACCTCTGTAATGATTTTATGCCTTTCAATAAAAATTTTATGAGGTGTATTTGATTATAGATTAATGTGTCCCTAATAAAATGGACGGATGGAAACAGCAAAACCCGCGTCTCCGAGCACGACCGACGTGTGGCCGAGCGCACGCTGCCGAGCGGGGCCGCGCTGCTGCCCAGGGGCTGCGGGGAGCGGACCGCAGGGGGCTGCAGGGTCTGAAGGGGCTGAAGGAGCCCTCGCCCTCCGCTCTCTGCCCGGCCCCGGTTCCGCCGCCGCCGAGGTCAGGGGGACCCAGGCCGGCCCGTGCTGCCACGTTCAATGCCTACGGGGGATTTTCGGCCGCGCCGTTTTCTCTGCCTCCTCTCCCCTGCCCGAACCCGCTATCCTTCCTTCCCCAGCGCCTGGTTAGCGCGGACAACCAGATTACCCACGCCGTGCTGCGCCTTTCTGCTCCTCCGAGAGAGGGAAGGTGCTGTGTCGGAATCTGGAGAAAACGCACACAGTTAGAGTGGAGCCCGCAGCACGGCCCGCTGAGGACACGAAAACAACAGCACTGCGAAAACACTTCCTACTCGCGGGCCGGTATGAGGAAGGGACCGAAATTCCTGTTTATTTGATGATTTATTACTCTTCTAAGTTGTTTTCTTTCCTTTTCACCCCCCTTTCTTTCTTTCTTTCTTTCTTTTTATTTTTTTATGATTTTTTTTAATTTTCTTTTTTTTAATTTTTACTGTCCGGCTTTGGCCATCTCGCTCTCGCCTTTCTTCTGCATTTCAGTCTCCTCTGTTACTCCTCTGGCAGCGGGCGCATGGCGAGGAGGCCCTGCCGCACACATACGGGTTGGTACAGACTGGGGCGAACCTCTTTTCTGTGTGCGTGGAGCACTCGGTGTGGAGCCAGGGAATGAGTTCCCAACGCTGAACTCCTCGGGTGATGCAGCGAGCACCTCTAAAAGGGGGGGAGGGGGTTGGGGAGGGAAGAAAAAAGAGGGTTCAAACGCACGCAACGTTGAAAGAGATGGGCTCTGAGCAATGCTTTGTTGTTTGTTTTCGAGGCGGGAGCGAGAGCGGCGTACCTATGTGCCCCCGCAGCTCCGAAACGGTGCCGCTCTGGGTCGGGGAAGCAGCCCTCTGCCCTGCGAGGAAGCACGAGGAGGCATCTCTTGGATCCGACAGCCGAGAGCGGGGAGCAGAGCCGCGGGGCGGGCAGGGCCGGTGGCACCGGTTCAAGGACGTGGGCACTGCCTTTCTTATCTCCACGTAGAAACCGTGCAGGGGAGGAACGGGCGTCGGTGGGCAGCGGGCGGCCGAGGGGAGGCACACGCCGTTCTCCCGCACTGAGCGAAGGTGAACGCGTGCCCACGGATTTGCACTTCAGCTCGGAGTCATGTTCATTTGCAAGCCGCTCCGCTCGGCGCTGCCGCTCGCTCCCACCGCGCCCTTCCCCAGCCGCCAGCGGCCCCTGCCCGGATTTTTCAGCCGCGCACAGAAAGGGTTAAGAGTCGTGAAGTTCACGATCTGGATGTGCGCCTCTAACGCGGAATTGCGTGGAAGAAAACGGGCTCCGAGCACGGCGAGGTGGTGCAGGGCCACAGAAAGCGGGGCTGGGAGGGCGGCTGCTGCGCTGCCGGGAGCTGCGCTGCTCGGAAAAGCCCAGCTTTAGCAGATGTGGGGGACATTTCCCCGTGCAGCGCTTCTGAAGGCCCACGGGCTGGCCAAGGAGCCCGCTCCTTACCGTTCGGTTGTGCCAGCTCCGTTTTTGACACGATGGGCTTTTTTTAAAAAAGCAAGTAAAGACACGAAATCAGGGTCTACACATTGTAAGCACGCAGGACTGATATTTTTTAAATCAACATCCGAGCGTCAAATAAAATGACACACATATTGCTGACAGCTTGTAGTAGAAAGATTTTTTATCACTTACCATTTATGAGTTGATTGGATGAGGATGTCCAGTTTAGGTCATAATATTTTACAACATTTTTTTTTTCTTTTCCTTTTTTCCTTTCTCTCTCTCCCTACTTTTTTTTTTTTTTTTTTTTTTTCTCTTTTGTTTTGTTTCCGCATTCTGATTGTCAGACTGCGAGCATCACAACATTTTATCAATTAATCATTTGTTTACAGGCACGACTAGAAATGATTCGGGTTTACATCATTTCCCGCCCCAGTCTCCTCCCCACCCCTAAAAAAAGGGGAAAAAAAAAAAAAAAAAAAAAAACAAAGAAAAGAAAAGAAAACAAAGAAAAAGGGAAAAAGAAAGACCGAAGCCCAGGCAGAGACACACAAAGAGCAGAACGTGGAGGAGAAGGAGCACCAGGCCCAGGAGCTGCTGGCGAGGAAGGCTCAGGAAACCAACCTGCATCCGCACTGGGAACGTTTGTAGAAAACCAAAGGGACCGCAGTAGTTTACAGAGTTTATTGCATTATACATGCGAACAGAACATGCACAAGAAGGACATATTGCTGCTGAACGACTACTATTCCACATATGCACCACAAGAAAATGTCTACAATGGAGAAGAATGAAAGATTCCATTTTACGAAGGACGACCTCTAAGTTCATTTGCGAGGATAGTTACATTATGATGTGCTTCTCTTTCCCCCCGCCCCCAAAGTTTCCCCCCCTTTTTCTTAAAGTATTGAATGTACTCCAAACGTTATGGCCCGTGTAACAGCCCCACATAAATACCATTTTGTTAGTAAAAACATGAAAAAAGTCACATTGCTTGGATGTTCGACAGTTCCAATAAGTTAAGACCAAATGATAATATTCAATAATAGTTACCCTGCATTACGATGAGAACAAAAATAAATTACACGTGCTAGGTTTTATATATACTCGTCATAGTAATACATATTCACTTGCAGCGCTAAAAGAAGGACGAAGAGTCACATTCTACCAGAAAATAAAAGGAAAAGGACGGTTCTGCCAGAGTCTCTCCCACACGTGGCCCCGGCGGTGCCGTGCCCACTGCTCGCTGTTGCCACCCCCGGGAACGCCTTAGGAGAAGGTCAGATTAGCGGTCAGTTCTCGGATTCGGTTCTCCCTGCTCATCTTCTTGAGCTTCATTCTGCGGTTTTGAAACCAAATCTTGACCTGCCTGTCAGTGAGGTTTACGCTCTTACTGATCTCTAGGCGGCGCTCTCGGGTGAGATACATATTGAATAAGAACTCTTTCTCTAATTCCAGTGTTTGGTGTTTAGTATAAGGGCACCTCTTCTTTCTGCCACTCTTTGCAGTTAGCCAATTGCTCGTTGGAGTATCGGACTTGATTTCCTCTATCAAAATCAAAGAAGAAGAAGAAGAAAAAAAAAAAAAAAAAATGAACACCCCCTCCGGCTGCAAGCGCGTACCCTTGGCCATGACCCCTCCGCAGCGTCTGGCAGCCATGGCGGATGTGCGCGGAGCTGCTGCGCGGGGCGCTGCGGACGAGGGCAGCGGCGGTGGCCGCATCCCTCTCGGCCCTTCCCGGCGCCGAGCTGCGACCGTGCGAGGCCGGCCGGGCTCACCCTGCCCGCAGCGCGGCCCCGCGCCCGGCCCGGCCCGGCCCGCAGCCCCGGCCCCCGCCCGCTGCGTGCCCAAATGCCCCGCTGTAAAATGCCCTCGCCACGCGCCTGGGGCAGCACCCCCCGGCCGGCTGAGCCTCAAAAGCACACCTAGGAGCAAAAACACGGACGTTTTCCCAGCCCCAAAGATACACGTGAAATTAACGCCCTCCGCCTCGCGGGTTTTTGTTGTTGTTGTTGGGTTGTTTGGGTTTTTTGCCTCCATTTTCCTTTTAGGTTCTATTTCTCCCCCCTCCCCACCAGAAATCTCACACTATCCTAGACCTGGATTGGCAACTATAATTCATAAAAAGAGAACCTCCATGCACACGTAGGGTAAAAATCGACCTGAAGGATGCAAAGCGCATTTTTATCAGACAGATTTTCCCGTTTTTTGATTCCTCGCCACACGCTGTTCGAAACGAAGGCTTTTGAGCTCTTTTAAAGGGAAAATAAAATCAGAGAAGCACCACCTTTACCTTTCACACGCATTTCAAAATAACGCTGCGCTTTTTGGAGCCGAAGCCAAGGTTCTCCCCAGCACCATATCCGCACAGTGCACGCTCTGCTCACGCAGGCAGCGGGGCTGCTGCCTTCATTGTGCGTTTGTTCCCAACTTCCCCCAGCCTGGAAGCACCTATCCCTCACCTATTTTAACAGCATCGTAATTAACTTTAAACGCAATCAAACCGCAGCCGGCCTCGGTGGCGAAAATCAGCGCAATATTACGAGAGGAAAGTTGCGCCGCTCGTATTTTACAACCTCCAGAGCTGCTTTTTTAAAGGAATTTGGCCGGTTTGGGCTGCAGCAGCGCACTAAGGAGCACACGGAGCTACCCCGCACCGCAGAGAAGGGCTGCATGC